ATGAGGTCCCAGTGCCAGGTTCCGCATGCCTTCTCCACACCAGCTCGGCGCACCCCTTAAACGTTTCGTGGCCACAGAGGGAGCCCCACCTAAGGTTCCAGTACCAGGGCCCACATGCCTTCTCCACACCAGCTCGGCGCACCCCTCACACGCTTGGTGGCCCCAGCAAGGAGCTCCACCTAAGGTCCAAGTGCCAGGGACCACATGCCTTCCCCACATCATCATCATCATCATCATCATCATCATCATCATCATCATCATCATCATCGTCGTCGTCGTCGTCGTCATCATCATCATCAGCATCATCATCATCAGCATCATCATCATCAGCATCATCATCAGTATCGGCATCATCATCATCATCTTCTTCATCATCGTCATCATCATCATCTTCTTCATCAGCATCAGCATCATCATCAGCATCAGCAGCAGCATCATCATAGGCATAAGCAGCATCAGCATCAACAGCATCATCATCAGTATCAGCATCATCATCAGCATCGTCATCTTCATCATCGTCATCAGCATCAGCAGCATCATCATCACCACCAGCATCACCACCACCACCATCATCAGCAGCAGCATCACCATGATCATCATCACCACCATCATCCTCATCATCGTAATCAGCATCACCATCATCCTCATCGTCATCATCAGCATGATCAGCATCGTCATCGCCGTCCTCACTACCAAACTCATACTCATACTACTCAGCATCATTATCGTAATCTTCCTCAACACCATCATCGTCGTCATCATCATTATCAGCACCAGCATCCTATCGTATCATAATTTCCATGGCATATCATATCATATCACGCGATATCATACAATATCATCACACGCCATGCCATATCGCATCGTACCATTTCGTATCATAGCATACCATGCCATGTCACGTTATATCATGTCGTGGCATAGCGTGTCAGATCATATCATGTTATCGTATCACCACCACAAAGCACCACTACCATCACCAGCACCAGCACCATCATCATCATCATCAACAGCAGCATCATCATCATCAGCAGCAGCATCAGCATCATCATCATCAGCATCATCAGCATCATCATCATCATCATCATCATCATCATCATAATAACAGTCACCAGCATCATCATCACAATCAGCATCATCAGCATCATCAGTATCATCATCATCATCGTAAGCATCATCATCACCATCATCATCATCATCATCATCATCATCATCATCATCAATATCATGATCGACACCAAAACCACCACAATATCGTCAGCAGCAGCATCTCTTCTGGCTCTTCCTCTACATGTTTCCCTTCTTCCCGTCGCACCTTTCGTCGCCCCTTCCCTCCCTGCCACCCTCCCCATTGCTCCAGGCCCCGCTCCTTCTCCACCTCGCCCTCGCCGTCCACTTCCGAATTTTCCTTCCCTGAACTCCGACGTGGCGGTTTCTTCACAACGTGGACTCCCAGATATCTAGACCCCTTCCCGGGGAATGGCTTTCCATCCCGAATCGATTTCTGATAGTCCCAGCGCCCGGCAAGGGCCCCCAAAGGCCGAGAACTTGATTTTTTTTTGCAACGAGAGGACGTCGGGATCGTCCTCGTCTTCCTTCTCGCCCTCGCCCGGCGGTAGTCCTGCCTTCTCCGCCATTCTGGCCTTTCGGGCGTTGATTGACCGGGCTTGGCGTAAGGCCAGCTCGGCCAACTCAGAAAAAGAACACTGCAGTGTTTGGAGGTGGCTTCCCAACCCCGGCTCGGCCAACGGCCACCTCCAAGGCTGCAAGCGGCTTCCAAGCCCGACTCGGCCAAACTCCCGCTTTGCAGGATCCTGCAGGATCCGGCGTTCTGGCTGAGACCCCCTTTGCTAGGGGGAAAACAGACCTACCTCGCTCCCTCGCTTCCAAGAGATACCAAACGATGCCAAATTGCAGCCTGTACTGGTCAGGCCGCTTGACGAGGAGGTGCGTGGTATGGCTTGGTTTTGCCTGGAAGCGAAAGCGGGGTAGGTAATTCACGCTCTGATTTGCGCTGAACCCCGTTGCGTGCGCCCCGAGCCCTGCCGCTGCCGGGCCTGCCTGCTCCTGCGCGCTGCTGCCCTTACCCCTGCTCCTCGCCCCCCCCTTTCCCGCCCCTGCCGATGACCCTCCGAGCGCGTGTCGCCGTTAAGGTGTGCCTGTCCACCGAAGCCCTTCGATAGGACGCAGGCGGTGCAGCGTGGGCCGACACAGCATGCGTGCTCTCGGTGAAGCTGAAAGAAGGTAAACACACGCGCACACACACACACACACTTTTGAGTCAGCGAGCGAGCGCATTCGACCGAGCGCAGTCGAAAGCACAGTGAACGAGACGGCGAGCACTGGAATACAAACGATGGGTGGTGGACTAGAGGGCCTGTAAGCCCAAAAAGAGAGCGACACACACCGACACACACGCACGCACGCACGCACGCACGCACGCACGCACGCACACACACACACACACACACACACTGGGCGAACACACCTCTGGAGGGTAACCGACCCTGGTGCTGCCCCTGCTGCCGCCCACCCGCTGCTGCGACCCCCGCCCTGGCTCGAAGTTGAACCAACGTCAGCTGGAAACTCAACTCCTGCAAGGTTTCGTCAGAACGAGTAAGGGCTGCTGAACCCGATGAGAGGTCGATAATAGACCATTCGCGATGACGTTCGCAACTGGCCCCGCCCCCACGCCCCCCCCCCGTCGCGCCTGTCATCGGCACGAGATGACACACACTGTCTCTCAAAGGGCCACGAAGCCGGATAGGCCATCAATAAGCCCAAGTTTGAGCCCGTTTCAAATGGAATGGGTGGGCTTGCGCAGAACTAAGCGGAGTTAAGGTTATGCTGTGCCAGGCCGGATTCGACCACATATCTGCCAGCACTAATGTCAAATTGACCTCCCAGCATTTGCATAACCAAGGTTGTCCTGCGGTGTCCTGTGGTGTCCCGTGGTGTCCCGTGGTGTCCCGTGGTAATGTATGTCCTTGATGCACGACGCACGCCTCAGGGAGGCGCCGACCTGGCCGGCGGGAGGCCGCAGGGGAGAAGGGCGCAGAGCGGGGACGGGGAGATCCTCAGAACTCCGGGGTCGTGATCTTTACGCAGCGTCGACCCTTCGAGGTCTGAAACCCCTTCTTTGGGGCCGGACTTTCATCCCCAGTCGCTTGCGGCCGGTCCGGGGGGCCACGGGGGGGGCCCGGAGGCCGACAACCGCCTCAAACTTCCAGTCGTGTTTTGTACCGCAGCGAGAACACGACGGCGGCAGCGGCGGCGGCGGCGACGACGACGCCGACGACGACGACGACGGCAACGACGACGAAGACGACGACGACGACGCCGACGACGACGACGACGACGACGACGACGACGACGACGACGACGACGGCATCGACGGCGACGACGACGGCAACGACGACCCGAGGCTGCTGTCCGGGTCTCGGGAGGGCGCAGCGGCGAGGAGCGGGGAGGGGCGGAGCGGGGGCGGGCAGCTGGCAGCGGGGCGGGGCGGGGGGACGCGCGGCGGGGCGGGGAGCCCCGGCGGAGACGGGGTTGCGGAGAGCAGGGCGGAGGGCGGAGGGAGGAGGGCGGAGAGCGGAGGGCAGCGCCGAGGGAGTGCCGCGGGCCCCTCGGAAGAGAGAGGCGGGGTGCGCGGGGAGGGCTCCGGGAAGGTTCGGGCAGCTCTTTCCGAGCATACTCTCAAGCTGGAGGGCTCAGGGCGAAATCCATATGGGCTTTTGCACCTCGAAAATCAAAACCGTCTGGTGATTCACCTTTTGCAGATTCAAACCTCGAAAATCAATCAGAACGGCATTTCAGAGTTCTCCCTTTGCCCTCCACCCAAAGAAAGTGCTCGGTCTCTGCTCAGGGGCTGGTGTTACCTCCTGGGGAGGGAGGGGCAACACTTTTTGAGAGGGGCGGCCAAAGCATGGGGCAAGCCTATGCTGGGTTTCTGAATGAGCGTGGGGGGTACCCCCCGACGGGGGTCAACCTCGCCTCGTCGTCGCGTCGCGACGGGGGTCGGAGCGCCTTCGGCGCGCGGTGGCTGCCCGCGAAGGGGGTCGACGTGGGGCTGTCGGCGGGGGTGGCGCCCCCCCGACGCTTATTGAGAAACTCGGAGTGACGTGAACCTCTATCATGCGCTGGTTATGGCCTGGCCTGGCCCGTTGCCACGGCAGACGACCCCAACACAGAACCAGACCATCTCACCTCGGGAGACACGACGATCATGTGACAGACTGCTGCTCAACCTCCCAGATGGACGCAACGATGCATAGCAGACACCCTGATGAATGATCAAGCACTGCCAGCCGTGGAAGCGCAAGATTATTCAACAGAACCCAGACTCGGGCGGCAAGGCTTTGACCTTAAAGAAAAACGATGGCCATTCTGCAGTGGCATGCGTGTGACGAGCCCGTTGCACTCCTACGTGCAAGCTGTTATGGGCATCATGGGGCCGTCACGAAATGCATGTTCCTTTTTTTCCAGCCGAGGGCTGCGAGTATCGCGTGTCTGTACGCGCTTAGCGATCCGCGACAATTTGTACAGAAGCTCACAAAAAAAGCCATGGTCGAGCTCGAAAACTTGATGAAGTTCGGGCAGACTGCGTCCAAATAGCGCGCAGCGCGAAATCGTCACTGTCGAACTACTGCGTTGAGCGGCAAATGCCGACAAAACCATGCAACACGGTCAACTGTGTCATACGGAACTGGGCTGCCCCCACTTAAGCGAGCAACCCGCTAATGCCACATGCGCGTGCGACCCTACTGGGTGTATTAAAATCTGTCAACTTCCCAGAAGCAACTTAAATACGCTGGGCCAGAAGTAATACGACCTCTTGGTCGAAGAATGTGTACATGAATGGGGATGCTTCTCTTACTGTAAGTCAACACCACCTCACGCATACATGAGTTCAAACCTTAGCAATTCTTCGATTGAAGGCTTCGAACTGGGTAAAGATCCCGAATGTCGTTCCACCTGCAGCTCTGCCGTCGGCTCGATCACGAGACTTTCGTCTTCGTCGCGAGCACGAGGGAGTTCACTGGATCGTTCGAGGTGGAAACCACATCGACGAACCCCAGCTTCTGCAACTCCTCACCAACATTAAGAGCATAATACTCGCCGTCTTTGCACCACGGCTCCGTCACTTGGAAGGCCCAGCGACGGAATGGTGGCAGCTCCAGCAGCCTCATCGGGTCGACATCCAACACCGCAATCACCCCACCTGGCGCGAGCACCCGGTATGCTTCCCGGAGAGCCTCGATGCTGACCTCGCGAGGGAGCTCGTGTAAGAGGAAGTTGAACGTCACCACGTCAAACAGTCCACTCTCAAACCCTGTGGCCTCCGCGAGGCCGTGGGTAAACTCCAGATCTGGGTACGTGCTCTTTGCCGTGGCCAGATAGTAAGGGCTCAGGTCGAGCCCCGTGGCCCGAACGCCCGGAAACGTGTCCGCCATCTGCCGCGTCGAGAAGCCGCCGCTGCAGCCTACGTCGAGGAGCCTCGTGGGCGGCGGTGCCGAAGCTGCTTCCGCCACGCCCTGTGCCTGGCGCCACCTGTCCGCGATTGCCACGCGAGCGGAGCCGCGGAACCTCTCCTGTGCCTCCTCCCACGTCGTCTCGGCCTGGTAGTAGCCGAGGCACATCGATTGCGTGGCGGCCTCCAGCTCGTGCGCGGCCTTCCAGCTGAGGTTGCCGTCGTCGTAGCCGTGGAAAGGCTGGGTGTAGTAGGCCGGGTACTGCAGCTCGGGATCGCGCACCTGCTTGAACAGGCGGTCCAGCTCCGCCTGGCGACTGCTCATCAGCTGCACGCTCTCAGTCCACTGGATACCGCGATCCTCCGCTCGCTTGATGAACCAGCTGCGCGCTGCGTCCTTCGCGATTGAGGAGAGGAACTCCCAGGGCTTAACGTCGAGCCTCAGGCCAACATCTTGTGCCATCTGCACCACTTTCCCAGGATTCGCCTCGGACCTGGGGACACCACAAGGACAAGGTACTCCAGATTTCGTAATAAAGGGAGGGGGGTCTCATTTCGGGGGGGGTCTCTTCCAGGCTATCTTGGAGGGCCTGGGGGGTTCTCCCACGAGGGGGGTCTGAAATGGCTTGTCTTGGAGGGTCAAGACCCCCTCCCTTTTATTACGAAATCTGGAGTACCGATACCGCTGCTCCCTGGACCTCTCCTGGGGCGCGTCCTGACCAGAAAACTCCGAGGCGAATCCAGCCGCGGCGACGAAGGCCTCCCAGAAGGCCCCAGAAAGGGCAGCGGCAGCGGTACCTCGTCTTCCTCTCGGGAGCGGCCAAGAGGGGGGGTTGTCCAAGAGGGGGGGGTGCAAATCATGACCCGCGGCACGGGCGCGGCCCAGCGGGGGGGCCAGGGACGTAATGAAATAAGAAGGGGCATATCCACCCCCCCCCTAGTCATCACCCCCCTCTTTTCCGCCCCCGATCCTCTGAGGACCGGTCCGTGGCGTTCGCCATGGCATGCGCCTCCATCTCCGCGCGGGGTGCCAGCCGCATGCGCGTTCGCCGCGTGCGCGGCCGCGCGATGCTGGCGGCGGCGCACGCCGCCGCCCCGAGCAGCACCGCGGGCGCGGCCGGCGGCTTCTCGCGGTGGGCGCCCCGCGCGGCGGCCTGCGCGGGGGGGGGCCCCGCGCGATGCGACCGCGCCGCCAGGGCAGACGGCCGCGCGGCGGCGAACGCCGCGGACGCGGGGGAGCCAAAAGCCCCCATCCGCAGCGGGAGTTGGCCGGCAAGGAGGCGCGCGGCGAAGGGGGCCAGGTCGAGCGGGAAGGACGGCAGGGGTCTCCCGGGCCAGGCAGCGCGAA